CTGGCAAATCCCCACGAAAGTCTTTGCTTGCGAGCTTCGAGCAGGTGTCGCAGCCATCTGATCCAGCACCATGTGTGATGACTCTTGGAGAACCTGACACAGATTCCGGGAGCGGGGATGATCAGATGCTACAGCATCCCCTATCTTCTATGATCGATATTTCTTCGGCCGACGAGGGTTGGAATGCTGAGGAACCACAGCATGCACTAGAGGGCCCATTGTAGCTTGATGTTTCGATGTTTCCGTGTGTTCTGTTGATCAATCCTAATCTAAGGAGACAGATGTTTACGGCTCGCCACTGAAGGTGCTTTCTGAATGCCAGGAAGTAGCTACTGCAGCAAACCTCTAATAAGAGATGCCGTTCATCGTACAGGAGACCAAACCGGAGCCAGAGAACGACAGCTCGGGGGAAGATGCCGATTCTTCGGATGCTGATGCGAAACCGCCTCTACGTGCTCGAGCTAAACCTAAGGGGTCCCTGCTTGCAAAGAAGGACGATCGACTGCAAGGTGCCCTGCTTATGTTTCAATGGTCTCGAATTCTATGAGCTCCTGCAAACTCAAGCTTCTCAGATGCCAAGCGACATCAATCGGCTATCCAAAGCTCAAGAATCGCAGCTGGAAGCAGTCCTCAGAAGGATCTGCAAGCCTTCACGGAAAGGAGCCCTCCAAGTTCCAGAGAGTGTGCACAAGATGTGGAAAAGGGAGGAAGCAGCCGACGCGAGCTGAAGAAGGTTCTCCTAAAGTGCCAAGGCAACAAGGACTCGTGAGGGACCCAAAACCCAAACCCTAAATCCATTATGATTATTCTATGCTATCCTGAACCCATAAAAGATATAGCCTCAAGCCCAGGACAACTTCGTGCAACATGTTCGGCACGTCTACAATCTACAAGCAGGCCAGAACCAACGAGTTCAAGACGAAGTCTGGGTTCTACACGGACCAGATGATGAAGGACGAATTGAAGTTCAGTAAGATGCTTGGCTGCACCCATGCACCCGCCAACCCACCCCACCCACCCAGCCACCCACCCAGCCACCCACCCACCAACTCCCGCCCACGCCCACCCAGCCACCCACCCAGCCACCGCACCCACCCACGCACACACCCACCCACCCACCCACGCACCCACCCACCCGCCCGCCCGCCCACCCACGCTTACCTATCACTTCGTACACATGGCTAGATACATACGTACACGTATACATACAGACATACATACATACATACATATATATATATATATATATATGTATACACAGACACAGCCATCTATCCATCCATCCATCCATCCATCCACCCATCCATCCGACACATAAAAAAACATATGCATATACATATACATATATACATATATACATATATACATAGATACATAGATACATAGATACATATATACATGTATACATATATACATATATACATATATACATATATACATATATACATATATATATATATATAATATGCATACATACATGCACACATAAATACATATACATACTACTTGCCTATAATTGCAAAATATACATACACACATGACATGAGAAGCCCACCTGGAACACTATGGCTACCTTTAGATGTGTATGCAGCTGAGGGAACGCCGCAAAGCCATTCGGAAGTTCTGCACGAGAAAGGAGAACCGGAAGACCCATACCTTGCATGCAGCCCCAGTCTTCTGCAGTCTTCAGTCTCAAGTGAGATGTCACACCAGTTAGCAATGATCCCACAACCCCAAAGTGTTCTAAGGAAAGACAAGTACGAGAAGAAGCTCCTATGGTACTATTGCGACGTTGCCTACGAAGGAGCCCAGGCTACCAAGGATGAGGAAGAGCTTGTTCGTGATACGACGATATGTGATGGTGCCCCCGTCACTGATGTGCCGTTCGGTTTGGGCTCGGCCTTGCCGAACCTGGACTCTGAAGAGGAAGATGACGACGATGATGAAGATGACGAGGATGATGAAGAGGAGGACGAAGAGCCAGAAGAGCCCAAGAAAAAGTTGGCCCGAAAGAAAAGCAAGGAGTCGCAACATCAGGAGGATCCCGACGAGGCTACTTGCTGTCCGCAAATAGCTTTCAATGTGTGAGTGTGTTGTTTATAACTCTTACATGATCCTCAAGTTCTCCTGTGTCTCGGTCGAAATAACAAACAACTGGCTAAGGACATGGAAGGGGTCCCAGGCCTCTTGGATGACATCCTCAAACTCCAAGGCCGATCCGCCAAGCTCCTGAAACGTTGCCAGACAGCTGGTGCTTCAGAGCCACACGGCCATCATAGCCGCTTATAAATCCAGTCATCCTCGACCCCAAACTCCGTTGTGGCACGACCGTTGTTGAGTCATATTTGTTGCTCAGCACTAGCTAAGGAAAGCCGCGAACCTGCAAAAGCAGATCGATGAGCTCGGCAGCAAGCACGACGAACTCGCGGATATGAAGTCTGCTTATGATTGTGAAGAGAAGATTGATTTCTCGATGCCCGACAGCAAGAAACCTCGCTAAGTAAAGCCCCACTTATACTAAACCCTGTAGTGCTGTGAAGGTGACCTGGTAGTATGGATTCCTACAGCGCCCTTAATTAAAGCCCTGAAGCCCGAAACCCTAGAAGCTAAAATCAGCCCTTTAAGATCCCAACAAACCCCAAAACCCTGAGAGCATGCAAAACTATTTATAGAGCCCTCAAAACCTGCAAAGCGACTTGTAAGGAAGCTATCGAACCTGATCAATCAAGTGAACAAACTGCCCCTTGGCCAGCAGTATCTGTCCTGCATGCAAAGAATGATCGTATGAAGTCATTGAACACGTTCGCCCTGCAGGCAAAGTCGCATGACAATGGAGGAGAACAAAATCAAGAAGAATCTTGGTTCAGCAAGCATTCTCACGCAGCATGTCTGTCATCATGCTGAACTGCAAGCATGGCATTGTGAGGACTGTGCTGGCTGGTGTGAAGGACGCAGAAACCCCAAAGCCGAAGTCGACCCCGAAAGCAAAAGTGAAGCCGAAACCAAAGCGGTCTCCGAAGGGGTCTTGAGCGAAGTTGTTTGAGGCTGTGCATGGGTTTGGGCAGCTCCTGACAAGGCTAGCTTAACTTAGGCGAAGAACCCGCCCCGAACCAGGCCTGCAACCTCGACCGAGCCCAAAGCCCACGCACGCATATACGTGTGCAGAGTACCCTAGAGGGTGTGCGAGCAGCCGCAGAAAAAGAGCTTATCGTCATGAGTTTAGGAACCTATTGTAGTATACAGATACCGATCATTCACAATGGTTCCCGCAGGTACGTTGTCCAAACGATCCGTGGACAGCAACATCTCCAAAGATTCGAGAGCCTCGGGAAAAACTGATTCTGGAAATTCTGGGCCTGGACCTATCGCATGTGCTCTGACTACAGCCATTACCAAAGGTGTGGCTGGGCTTGTTTTCTTTTGCAGCATTCCGCCAAGTAGGCTTATCATGGGGTTTATTCTATAGGTGGGCTTTAGGGTAATATAAAGTTTTTTAAATGATGTTTCGGTGCAACTGCACGAGAACATAGCTGATGGTTTAAAGGGGCTCTGAGTCTACTGCCCCCCACATATACTCATCCAAGCAATGCGAGGTTTCACACGAAATGGCCGCCGAATCGGCCCACGCTATCGCGACTGAAGTGAACCAATGTTTTGGGGACGAGGCTATGTTGAGGCTTACGTCTTCGGATATTGTTCAGAGAATGAGCAGTGCCTTCTCCACCGGGCATTCAGCCGTCGGCACCAGGAACCATTGCCGAGGCCGGCGAAGCCACACTTCATCTGAACTTACCGGTTACTACGTTAGCAATTGGCTTGGAAAGGGAGCATCCAGCTATCCTCTTCAGTTCCTATGTCAAGACTTTCGGAGATCTGGGTAAATTGGATGTTTTGCATGCTAACGCAGACCTTCGCGAATTCTGGCAAACCCTGCAGCCACTGCGGTCTGGCCACCCGGTGTATTCTTTGCCTAGGGAAGAGTGGGACCATGTCATACCCATCTACTTAATCGCCGATGAGGGCCGAGGCTTGAGGCATTCTGCTGTTATGGTCCTGGGATGTGAGCCACTGTTGGGAAACGGGTGCGAAACCCAGGACGAAAACACAGCACAGGAGCCCTTCAAGATGAACTTCACTGGCAACACATACCGTACACGGCAATTGTTTAGTGTTCTTCATCGAACCAAATACAAGAAAGGCGAGGAGGCTTTGCGTCGGCTGGTGGCTCATTGGAGCGATGATCTTCGCTTGTGTTTCGATGGCATTCAGGTGTCGGGCACATTATGGCGAGTCGCTGTGATGGGGCTGAAAGGGGATCTGCCGGCCCTGGATAAGCTGGGGCGGTTAACCCGTCACTTCCGGCGGGAAGCCTACCCGCACGGAAAAGGACTGTGTCCACATCGGTGTGTCCAGAGTGGCACCAGCATCGCTTTGACACTGCTCCTTGGGTGCAAACAATGGCTACAGCCACGAATCCTTGGATTCCTACGAAAGAATCATCCCTGACTGCACGGATTCCAATGGACACCAGCTTGAAGCCACAATTTTTTTTGCCAGACTTATTCCACACTGTGCACAAGGGGGTGCATGCTGACCTTACAGCCTCAGCAATCGAATCGGCCGTCCGTGGCAGATTTTGGGTGTTTGTTCCAACACTTTCAACTCGGGTTTCTAAAAATGGTTTTAGGATCCGTTTTTTCTCTAGTTTCGGTTTGTATAGGGTTTTGCTAATTACAGGGTTGTAACTCATGTTTTCCTATAATTGCAGGTTCGCTTTAGGATTCGCTCCCTTCACTTTCGATCCCCGTAAGAGCACAGGAGTTTCAATCGTGAGTACAGTTTTCCCATACCTTTAATATGTTCTTTGGTTCTCCACAACTGCAACTGTGTTCCGTTGCTGGGTGTTCGAAGGCAATTCTGATAGACTTCGAGCTGACTGGGTCCGAGAAAACTGGTGTGGTACCGAGCCTGCAATTCGTCTATGAGGAACTGAAGACTTTCGCTGCAAAGGCTTCGGCAAGACAACTAAGATATCAGCAAAAGGTAAGTAAGATACCGATTTGGGCTTTCATTTGGCCCTTAACCTATCACAACCAATCCCGAGGCTGACACACACACACACATTTTCTCGCTGCCTGTTGCTTGCACTTCCTGACTTGTAATTTTCTAACACATCGGATGTGTCTCTGTGATATGCAGGCAGTCTCAGTCTTGCAGTCTGTGTAAGAATTATCAGCCCATACAGTGGTTGTCCTGCTATCCTATCAACTGTAGGACAGAGGACTGCAAGACTGAGGACTGCAACGAATTAGGTCATCAAATCGACCCACTCTGCGTATGCACGAACTCTGGTTTTGAACCTGTACCACTGTCGCTCCCAGGTGCGTTTTGAAACGCCGCTCTTGTAGACGCGTGGTGTAACGGGTGGATCCCCCGGAGGGGTAGACTGCATGTCCTTGTTGAGCAACAAGAGCTTCGCACGCTGGTACTCCTCGGATTTCTGCTTGAAGCTTGCAACCACCCTGACTCGTTTGAGGACTCTCTCAAACTCTGTTAGTACTCGCCGGTCCGGAGAGATGTCCCTGTCCATTGCCACTGCAAGACTGCAGGACTGAGGACGGCTAGTTTGTGCTGTCAGAGGCCAAAAACTGCGACAACACTCAGTGTGAAACAACTTCTGTGCGACAATGGAGGAAAAAACTACTACTATTGACTACTGTTACTGTTCAGGGTTGGCTGCCCCTTAAGGTAGGCCTCATGCACAGTCTAGCAGTCTTGCTGTTCCATAAGAAGCCCCAGCTACATGTGTCTGTATATATAATACATATATATATATATATATATATCTAGGATAATCCTATAATATTACAGGACTAAGCTTAAACAAGACCGTTAGGCTGCATAAGAGGCCTTTCGAAGGCTGCCGGGAGCAATCCGACCTTTTTGAGTGCCTGGCACGTACAGTCTACCAGTCTTGCAGTCCTTAGTAAGCACCCCTAAGAATGGTTATTAGGTTCCTCAACTTAATATAGAAGGACTGGAAGACTGTTAGACTGTAAATTAAGAGTCTGCCTGCAAAGAAGTTTGTCAAGGCCATGTACAGTCTACCAGTCCTGCAGTCCTCAGTAAGCACCCCCATTATAGGTATAGGTCCCAAAATTAGACTAGTATGGGTGGACTGCACGACTGTTAGACTGTAACTTAGGGATTAAGGGTTTAGGTCTAAGAGTCTCCAAGAGGCTCCCTGCCAAGAGACCTTTTGAGGCCATGTACAGTCTACCAGTCCTGCAGTCCTCAGTAAGCACCCCTAGTATAGGTATAGGTCCCAAAATTAGAATAGTATGGGTGGACTGCACGACTGTTAGACTGTAACTTAGGGGTTAAGGGTTTAGAGTCTAAGAGTCTCCAAGAGGCTCCCTGCCAAGAGACCTTTTGAGGCCCTGTGCAGTCTATCAGTCTTGCAGTCCTCAGTAAGCACCCCTATTTTATTGATCTTATAGCTTAGGCCCCAAAATTAGAATAAGGGTGGACTGCGAGACTGATAGACTGTAAAGAAGTCTTTAAGAGGCTCCCTGCAAAGAGACCTTTTGAGGCCCTGTACAGTACAGCAGTCTTGCAGTCCTCAGTAGGCACCCCTATGTTATCGATATAGGTCCCCATAATTAAACTAGTATTGGTGGACTGCAAGACTGTTGGACTGTAAAACTAAGAGGCTCAGTAGGGCTTCACAAACTCTTCTTCGACACTCACTGAAGCACTTCAAGCCCTGCAAGCTGCTACGAAAAAGCCAAAAGCCACTAGTAGTGGCAGCTGAAGACCTCTCAGGCCCATAGTGCAAGGCCCGTAAGGCAAGTCTGCAGTTTTGCAGACTTTTGGGAGGCTTGCCTCTAGGAAAGCATCCTTCAATGTCCACCCTTGGACGAAAACCGCTGAACACATGTGCCAACTTAGGCACGCAACAGTACCATGGAAGCCTTGTAAGCTTGTAAGGGTAGCTTGAGGCTCGGTAACTCAGGCCAAAACCGCAGTCTACAGTCTTGCAGTCCTCAGTACAACCCCTATTTTATAGTATGTTATGGGTCCCCTAGTAGAATAATGTGGTGGACTGCAGGACTGCTAGACTGCTGAACCTGGAGCTCCGAAGCCACAGCCTTCACACCCGGGAGTCTCATGTAGAGACTTTCAAAACCCCGGACAGTCCTCAGTCCTGCAGTTTCCATATAGTACATACAACTACATACATATATATATATATATATATATTATGTACTATTTAAGAACATATGGGCCCCTTGTAAACTGCAGGACTGAAGACTGCTTAACTAAGAAGCCCAGCTCACACCAAAGAGCCTCTCACTCCGGCTGCTGTGGCTGCTGGCCTGTGCGTGGCCGCTGGCGGCCGAGCTGGAGGCCGACCTTGGCGCAGTAAGTTTAGACTAAGGGTTTTAATTTAGGGTGTAGGGTTTTGGGGTTTTAGGCCAAAGAGCTTCTCAGTGAGAA